TTCAGAGACTTTCTTATGTCTTTGTTACTTTCTCTCTTTGCTAAGACCAAATCCCCAACACCTGAAGTTAAAGGGGGAAAGGCTTTTTTAGCTCAGTTTGTACAAGTTTTAGTCCACAGCTGGATGGCTCCAAGGCAGGGTGGCACATGGCAGAGAGGCAACCAGGCATGGTAGCAGAAGACAGCAAAAGCAACAGGGAAGGGAGACAAGACTCTTTAGGGTTTAGCACACACACACTTAATCCTAGCCAGAACTATGCCAAACCAATCAGTGGACTGATTTATTATCACACACCCTTAATTCCAGCATCACACATTCTAGATTCAGCTACCTCTGAAAAAGCCCTATGACTACATGAGACTTTGGGAGGACACCTAGACACAAGTGCAACACCTTACTATCAGAACTTGCCCAAAGAAGTATCTACACTAGAGCTTAGCTAAGTACAGCTTGTGGGCTGAATCCACCTAGCCATCTATTTTCGTAAATTAAGTGTCACTGGAATCAGCCACACACCTTCATTCAAGTACCGTCTATGGCTACTTTCACACACATAGCTGAAGTTGTAACAGAGATCAAATTGCCTACAAAGCCAAAAATTTTCACTATCTGGCCTTTTAGAGAAAAAGTTTGCCAATTTCTGGTTCAACTCACTGCCTCCACTTTCCTACTGTCCATTTACCTTTTCCCCCACTCTGATCTAGTGTCTCTTTAATCCTTCTAGTAAAGTTGCCTATCAAAGTCATCAATGATATCATGTTACCAAAACCAAAGGCCACTCTTCTGTCCTCATCCACCTAACACTCTCCTTTGAACACTGATCCCTTTTGGGGCCTGTGACAACATCCCTTTCTGGATTTTCGCCTGGGTCTTGAGCTTTCCTTCAAAGTCTCCCGTTAGCTTTCCTTCCACTAACCAACCTCAGGGCTCTGTCCTAGGCTCCTTCTCTTCTCATTACCAACGATTTTTTTTTTTTTTTTTTTTTCCTCCGGTACCAGGAACCGAACTCACGACCTTGCACTTGCCAGGCAGGCGCTTTTGCCGCTGAGCTAAGTCCCCAGCCCCTTACCAACGATTTTTGATCTGCTTATATTCTACAGATCCTTCTGGGATCTAGGAAAGCCTATGACCCATTTCAGGATAATATAACATAAAACAAAAAATTATAAAACAAACCTATTTTACTTAAATACAGTTTTCAAAATAGAAACGAATTATGATACATACTTTTTCTATTAATGTATTTACTAACACACTAAATAAAAGGATCTAGTCATGGGTCTAAAAATTCTTTACTACAGTTCTACAGTAATGAAAATGTATGTTATTTTGGGATCTCAGTAATAACTGTAATGTGATATGAAAATATCTTGATTTCTATGGGTGACAAAATTACAAATAATATGAATATTACTTTGGTTTGAGGCCTCTACTTAAAATTGAAGAAAATGATAACTTTCAGTCAGTGGTTAGTAGAAATAAGAAATATATTTCCCATTCAAGTTCAGACTCCCAGAATTCTGGCTTCAGAACCATCTGCATGCTAAAGTCAACCTTGTTTGTATTTCCAGCCCAGATTTCTTTGAGTGCATTCAGACTGGTACATACAACTTCCTATTTGCCCTCTCTACTTGGACATCACACAGGTGTCTCATACTAAAGAATGCATTCCTGAACTCTTGGATCTCCCCTCTCCCCAGCCCCCACGCCCCCATTTTTTTGGGACAGGGTCTTGCTGTGTAATTCAGGCTGGTCTTAAGTTCACTATGTAGCCCAGGCTGGTCTCAAACTCACAGTGATATTCCTGCCTTAGCCTTCCAAGTGCTGGGATTACAGGCATGCACCACCATGCCCAGCTCCCAACCCCTTTTTGATAGCACCCTCAGTAAATGAATGACCAAACCCTAAATTGCTTAAGGCAGAATCCTGAGGCCAATCCTGATACCATCTTCTTTTCCTAGCTATCAATAAATTGCTTGGACTCTACCTCCATGAATCAAATCTATCTACCTCTTCCCATTCTGCACAATATTTCAGGCCACCAGCCTTCTGAACTGCTGCAACAATTTCCTAGATGGTCTCTTGCCTTCCCTTAGCACTACCTGTACCATTCATAACACAATGGCCAATATTTTTATTTTAAAATACAAGTAAATTTATGTCATAACTTCACTTAAAACTTTTCAATGGTTTTCTATATATTCTCAAGATTAAAATGCAAGCTCCTTACCATGGTACAGAAAGTCTTGCAAGAATCAGCCTGACTTGCCCCTCCAACCTCATCTGGAGTCTTTCTTTCTCCTCACTTTCTACCCTCCAAACACAATGATCATTTAATTCCAACAACATACTAAGGTCTTTCTCACTAAGAGCTTCTGAGCACAGAATTACCTCTGTTTAAGTGCTCTTCCCTATGCTCCTGGAATGACTAACTCAACTGCACCTGTCAAGTCTCAGCTTAAATTTCACCTTCTTAGACAGACCTTCCCCTGACTACTCTACTTAATTAGATACCCTTGGTGATCCTTTCATTTTTGCCTTCATACCATCTTCCTTAATTCGTAACTGTATTTATTTGCTTATCTGTTTGTCTTCTCCCTTCTCTAGGAAAGAACACTAACAAGAGCAAGGGCCATTTTACTTATTACTGTGTATCTAGGATCTAGCACCAAGTAGATTGTAGATATATTCAACATGTATTTGTTAAATGAATATGGTCCTTGCACTGAAAGCATTTTCTATATAGAGCAGGAGGACACACAAGACCTTTCTGAAAATACCTGGTAGAGCAATGCCATGATTCTATTGAAGTTTTTCAATTAGTGATTCACTAAAGAAATTGTGCCCCTGGACTTTATTCTGAGAACAATCTAATATAACTGGAGAAAATATGAGTAACTAAAGAGTATACATAAAAGAGTGCATAAAAGTATATACACTGGTACCTCGGTTCATGAATGATTCTTTCCATGATTCTGGTCACAAACTGAGTTGGATAAGAACCAAATCAAAATCAGTGGTTACGTTCAATGTTGATCTTATAGAGAAATTTGATTTGGCTCTCATTCAGTTCAGTTTATGACGAGAATTATGGAGAGAACTGAGTTTGTAAACCAAGGCACCACTTATAAAGAGTAGACAGAGACTTAGGAAATTCAGAAAATAAATATGGTGGCTAAGAATGAAAAACTCTTATCAGCAAAAGAAATGTAATTACAATTCTATAAAATATCATCAACATTGAGGCCACAGGACAGCATGGTGGCATTAATGACTACAAGAATTCTGAGGAAATAGGTGATACTTCCAAATTTAAAAAAGACAGCAGGCTGGGCATGGTGGCATATGCATGTAACCCCACACTTGGGAAGCTGAGGCAGGAGGATCACAAGTTAGAGGCTAGTCTGGGCTACACAGTGAGTTCAAGGTCACACTGGACTACACAGTGAGACTGTTTCAAAAAACCAAAAAGGGGGAAAAAAAAAAAGACAACAGCATCCTTTCCTCTACTCTGAAATGACAACACTATTCCCAGGCAGTTCACGCTTCCACATACTTTTCTCTAAAGCATTAGTTCTCAATCAGTGCAGTCTTGTACCTCTGACAGCATCAGGTAATGTCTCAAGGCATTTTTGTTGTCACAGATAGGGGAGGGGCTACCATTGGCACCTACTGGGTAGAAACCAGGGATGACACTAAACATCATGCAACGCATAGGACAGCCCCAACTGGGCTGACTCACTGTCAAAGTTTGATCTCCTGCTCTAGAGGCGTATGTGATCCCTCCAGAGAAGTTATGTGATATAATTGCTGTGCACAGGGATCTCTCTGGGAGAATATGAGGATGGCTATCTCTGAAAAGGAGAACTGAAGATTGAAATAAAAGAGTAAGTAGGGAGATTTACTTTGTAACTATATGCACACCCTTTTATACCTTTTGAATACTACACAAAATATATATTGCACCTAGTTTTTAAAAAACAATAATAAAAACTAATCAAAAATAGTGTGGTTCATGAGTATGACTGTAGAAGAGTATTTTCAGCTCATGGAACACTACTAAATAGAAAATCAAAAGAACCTAGGTCCTGGAATGAATCTTGAATTGGGAGTTACAAAACCTGGGTTTTACCACCCACACTGCAGATCCCAATCATTATTATCAAATTCTGAACTTCTTTTCTCATGTGAAGAATGGGAAGATGAGGTGCCCTACTCAGTGCACACAGCACTGTGAAGGTCAAGTGAAATGATGTGGGTGAAATACCCTGTGAACTACTAAGAGCTATACAAACGCATGTAATTATTTTTAAAGGTCCTAGCATTATGAAAGAAAAAGACTAGAAACAATATAAAACCTTTAACTTTACTCCTACCCTAAATTACATATCTCTTCTTTATGACTGGGTCTTTAAGGGTTGTTCTCTGTTAATAGCACTGAAATCTTCCATTTATGCTGCCTACTCTAAGATGAGAAATAACTCCAGGTAAAGGCCTTATTATGATGAGGCACACTGACTGTAAGTAGTCGATAATTATTTAATGACTTACACAATTATACCAAAGGTTAAGAAGAGGAAGGCCTTTTTCTTATATCACTTGCTTTGCTACAAAAAAGCAGAGGCGAGGAGTTTTGGCTCAGCTATACCCTAAAAGTAATCCTATGATTGTTGCCTTAATAGACAAAAGATGGTAAAAGCATTCATCGATACATAATATGTCTAGTAGAATTACCAACTTTTGTCTAACAGCCGGGCCATGTGAGCATAAGCCAAAAAGCTGTCTCTTACTCATTAAATCACTGAATCATAAAAACAACACCTTCAGTGTTCACGTCTTTGAATGGCAAGGACAGTCAATATGTAGGAGCTGCCAGCAAAAATGATTAATACTGAGGATGCTCTAGTTTTAGCAATTACGAGTGTAATAAGTGCGTGCAAGAACAGAATGAGAGAGGCATCAGTCACCAGAAAAGAAAAAGGAAATCGTAGGTGTCTTACGTGATATACTTGTTATAGAGGATGAAGGCATGTTCAATGTTGCCTTCTTCAGAGTAAATGGATGCCATTCGAATAATCTCAACTCCAGAGCGGAAGTACCGACGGGGTGGAATGTCTTCATTCACCTCTACTGCACTGCCCAGCTGCGAGAGAGCCCTCACCCGGTCTTCGGGTGGGAGGCTCACATCTCCATGGTCAGACATCAGGACCAAGAAGTTCTGAGACAGAAAAAAGAGATGACATAAAACCATGGCCCACATCATCCCAGCACAGTTTAGCATGGAGTGTTTTATCTCACCAACCTCCACCTTAAGAAGAAATTAGAGAAAAAAATACCATACGCTGTAGCTTAAACAAGGTGCTTCTTCTATAAGATGGTTATGACTCTCAAGGAAGCCTAAATTACAATGTTGAGAGAGTTGGGAGACTCAAAACCCACAATCCTTGTGCCATAATTAAGAAGTACAAGAAATATAACCATATCAAGCCACAAGGGCTTCAATTCTACCCCTCCAGTGAGATAGTCCCTGTCATTAGGGGCCCCTGCCTAGAGCAGCATAAGAGTAGACAGTACCCTACATTTTTCCATTATTTCTTCTCAGCTACCTACTTCCATTTACCCCAGTACTTGACAGAGTGCAGTAAACTTTCGTGAGGATTGCTAAATGACTCTAATTTGCTAATCCTGATTTAACCTAAGAGTAATCAACATTTTCTGTGGTATACTTTTTCATATCTGAGCGCTCTGTTCTTTTTTTTTTTTGGTTTTTTTTTGGTTTTTCTCCGGTACCGGGAACCGAACTCATGACCTTGCTCTTGCCAGGCAGGCGCTTTTGCCGCTGAGCTAAATCCCCAGCCCCTGAGTGCCCTGTTCACAATCCTAATTCTGATCACTAAACTACTATACCAATCAGTCTGTAACATCATTGATTATTATCCTGGCAAGCTATTTAGATCTTGAAAAGGACAATTTACTCATCTTCAAAAACTAAGCCCTCTGAGAAATAAACGAGCACAAAGTCATCTTATACGGAGAGAAAGGCATAGGGACAAGACTAATCGGGGAGTTTTCCCTCCCCGGGCCCCAAATCCTAGTAATTCCACAATCTTTCTAGATATTTTTGCTGTTGGAATCAGTTCCCAAGTTCCAATCAGATACCATAATTTTCTATAATCTCCAAAAAGGGTCTTGGCATTTTATATGCATTGGATTATAGTAACCCTAACCAGCACATTCTACAATATATAAGCTTTAATAGACTTCATCTCGGAATTCGTGGCCTCCAGTCAACTGGCTCTGTCTTGTCTTTTCCAACCATAAACCTTATTCCTCCCAACAGAGATCTTTTGCTTCAGTGGGAATTTCAATCTGTCCAGGAATCTACACATTTCAGTTTCATCTGTTTGCCAGTTTTCCTATCCAACCCTGCCCTTAGACATAGTCATCTCCAGGCCAAGTCTATCTTCAATATTTGGGTCACATTTCTCCATAAAACTTCCCCTCTGAAACCTCATTAACAACACAAAAACCGCGGAGACTCCTGGGACAAAAGGCATTCTATATCCCACGAAGCCTCTTTCAGAGCTAAAACCTCAAGTTGCTTAACGGGTAAACCCAGTACAATCCATCAGAGATAACTGAAAAGGGATGCTCAGGGCATCCCAGTACTTCTAGGGACAAGTACGTGTGGATAGAGAAAGGCCCTTTTCCGGGCCTAGGAACTCGGCTGGGGAGACAGCACCGGGATGAGCAGAACTCCGCTGAGGAAACGCTGCATTCACAAATGAGGGAGGGTGGCTTGAAGGACTCGGAAGAGGGAAATTCGAGGAGGCGGTGAAAGGAAGTAGCAAGAACGCGCGGAGGGCGTACACAGTACACAGGCATCTGACAACTGCTTGAGGCGCCCTTTCTGAAGGCATTCATTCAAACGCAAATGCCTGTGCGGAACAAAACCATCTAAAGCCTTCGGGGCGTTCAAACGCAGTAGGCAAGGAAGCACGGGGCCTGGCCGGGTAGGCGCCAGCCCGCGGAAACCGGAGCCGTCAGGGACCTGGGTGCAGCAGGCCAGGCAGGGAACGCGGGGGAGGACAAGGCTGCAGGCCCCACACTCAGCGGCGGATCCCCTCAGAGCCCGGCCACGCTCACAGTCCCTGCCCCACCACCTTCCCGGGACCCCTTCCGCACCTTTCCTCGCGGTTGACACTCCGAGCTTCCGGAAACGTCACGTCCGTGCCACGCCCACTCTCGCCAGCTTGTCAATTATTCTCCCAAGAGTTTAGGACCAGAGGTGGGGAGTGGGTGGGCGGGACTAGAAGCGTCACCTGCGGAAAATCCGACCTATGAGGACTGAGCTCTCCAGTGGCCATCTTAGTAAAGGAAAATGAACCGGAAAGCTAGCAGAACTCAGCACTTAAGGGAACCAAACACCAAGCTCATATTTGTTTTAAAAATGATTTTGTGAGAACTTTTCTGCCAGATAGCCCCTCCATCACACTCACATAAATCTCACATTCAAGAAGAGATTACTGATCCAAGTACAACTGCAGACTTGCCCAAACTGGGACAAAGAAAATTATATTTCAGGTTGTGTTACTTTCTACACAAAAATGGTAATGGGAGTTATTAAGCAATACTTTTTTTATTGTTCAGAAAAGAACATAAGACTAACGACAAGACCTAAAATGTACTAAGTGGTTAATATTTAAGGGTCACTGCAAAACCCATGGAACACAAGATCTGTATGATACAGTTCTTCTATTTAAGACCAAGGCAAGGTGATTATAAACCCCAACTACAAAAAAAGTGGCACATCTTTCATATATGTATATACATATATACATATATATGTGTGTGTGTGTATATATATATATATATATATATATATATATATATATATATCCTCTTTCCAGTAAGGCTGTACAAGCCTGCTTCTCATTCTGTCTTAGGAGACCTTAGTATATCACCATTCTGAAACCTTGCGTTTTGCTTTACAAGTTTGACTCTCTAGGGACACTTTTTCAAAATGCATTTGGGAACTTTCCTGTGAATTTGTCAGTATGATGATACATCCTAGCCTTCAAGATCTGGTTTAAAGCCTCAGTGTACCTGTTACTTCTTCCACCAATCCAGCTTCCAGAGCTCCTAAACCCTGTTGTGTATGTTTCTCTTGGGATTCCCTGAGGTGATTTTGTGTGGTCATGGACTTTTCATACTTACTGTTGAAAGCACTTTTTGGATCATTCATTTATCCGCCTCTCCCATAAGCATTAATGTGTATGCCAGTGCTATGGTCTCCTATTAACTCATGGATTCCCCACAGATAAATCTGGGAAGACAGTTGTATACAGTAGTGTACCATGTACCCTATTTTAAAAATTCCCAAAACTCTACTTCTCTGTTGACTTTTTCCACTTAGCATGTAAACATGGTGGGTTGAGCCTAATGAAACATGCATTGAAGATGCTGGTCACAGAGCCTACACTGTGGGTAGGGTCCTGTTGATACAGGAAAAATATAACTCCCAGCCCACTAAATGTCAGAAGTGCTGAGTTCAAGTCCACTGAAATCAAAGAATGAATTCCAAAGGACAAAGGAAGTTAAGAGTAGGAAAGGTTTACTGGAGAATGTTCATGAATCTATATCAGCCAATGGATCTGTATGTAGCCCAGAAAAGGTGTGATTCTGTTCATATTTGATAAAATCAGTAATTCACGAACTAGCACTTTGGGAGAAGAAAGTTTTATTCAGTAGCTAAAGAACAGAAAAGTGGGGTTTTTTACTTGAAAATCAACCTCTCAAGTCCAAGGGGCTGAAGAATTACAGATGATGTATATGCTAGGAATAATGAGGGAGAGAGACAGGCTAACAAAAGGGAGGAATATTTGTGTCTTTTTGGGGAATGGCAGAGATCTTTCAGGAACTCAGGTGCCAACTCTTTTCACTACTGTTATGAGCTGGTGTTTCTAGTCATGGTGGCTGGTAAGTATCTTTAAGTGCAAAGGCTAAGGCCACAAAGGAGACAGACACAATATGAAGACAGAGATACCAGCCTTTTGTTCCAGTCACCTTATCAGACATCTGCAGGCCCAAGTGAAGAGTCAGTATTTTCAGCAACAGTGGCCTTCAAATCCCTGAAAAGTAACCCTGGCAACCATTATCATCATAACCCACAAGGCAGAGATGTTATCTATAGCAAACCTAATGAGAAACTAACAATGTATTGCTCAGCTGTGTGACCTCCATGATTACTGATTTTTAAGTCAACTAAAGGTAAGCGAATTAGAGGATTTGCAAATTAGAGGATTTGCAAACCTTGTATATAGGTTTCTCCTCAGTAACACCATGACAATAATGAAAAACTCAGTTTCCATTGTTTTAAAAGATTTATAGATAAACATTTAGAAGGACAAACATCTTTAAACAGTTACTAAGATCCTCAACAGGATTCTAGATGAGCTCCATGCATTGTGTGACTACCACAGCCTGTCTTGAACACTGGTAGGGCATTTAAAAAGCAGAAATGGGATTTGTACTAAAGACAAATGGTTTGCATTGTTAAAATTTCTACCTGTGATCCTACTGGGAATATAAAGTGACTGAATTTGAAAAGTAATACTGGGGAAGAAAAAGATGTGGGATGAAATGTTTCCAATACAGGGAAAGGTAAATGCACAGGAGTATTTTAAGTCTGTTTGTAATTATTGGATTCAAATTATGTTCCTTTTCAGTTGAAGTTGGGATTAGGCTACAATAAACCCAGTAGCATTAACTTCTGGTTTAGAGCTCCACCTACAGTTTGAGGACTGGTATGTCCTGTCACAGAGAATGACTATCTTGGAAAAAAGTTTTTTGCATGCTTGGGAATATCGTATGTGTGTGTGTGTGTGTGTGTGTGTGTGTTGTTAAAATTAATGTTGAAATGTGTGCATGAGGAATCAGTTTTACTTTAGACATATTTCTTCCTTTATTACCTGAGAGCTATGAGTTACATAATTTATTTCCTAATATGTAACTCAAAGCCTTTCTTTTAGGTGAGAGTGCCATTTTCAAGTTTGCAAATTTCAAGTAGAGTTAAACAACATGCGAAACTTTAGGATTATTTGTGTGGCACACTTTGAGTGATGGATGTTACCATCTTAGATTTGTTTTACATTTTTCTTTTTTAAAAAATATTGGCCAAACACTGTAACTTTTAATGAGGGATGAATTGCATACCAC